CCACCACCACAGCAGAGGCAAAACTCAGTCCCAGAACTATGGACCGAAAGGCTGACCAAAGCAAGGTCGGGGAAAGAGGTGAGCCCAGCTCCCAATGTGGGCTTCAGCTGGGACCCTCAGCATGCTGCTAACTGTGAGTGGGGCCAGACTCAGTCCCGAAAGCTACCTCAAGCCTGGAAGGGCTGCCGCTCTCCTCAGCAGGTCTCCACCTCCAAAACACCCCATATTGTACCCTTAGGATCTTGGAGGTGACTCTGCCAGATATCCAGGCTGAGGGTAGCCCCAGGCTTCGTGCAGAGAAGGGCCTGGAGTTGTCTTGGAATATGAGGAAGAGTAAATAGAAAGGAACACAGAGTCAGCAGGAAAAGGCCGAACGAGGAAAGAAGCACCAGGAGGGAAGCCGCGGGCTGCAGATGCGGACAAGGACAGGGGAGCAGCATGTGCCTGACACCGCGCTCTGTCCTAACGCACGCACGCACCCATGCACTCAGACCAAGTCCCTCGTCCCTAAGAGCAGGGTCTCTGAGACTGGTGTTCCCCCCACCCGACCCACTCCCCTGCTCTATCAGTAAAGTTGCCAGCCACCACGCATCTTAGTGAGTCTAGACTGATGGCCTGGGCCGCTGCGGAAGTCCCCACCTGACCCCTACACTCTGTGAGAGGCATTCTGTACAGTTTGAGTCTTAAGCCCTCTCCAAAACCTTGACCCAGCATTATGACTAACTCCAAACTCCCCCTAACTCAGTACAGTCAAACTGTCAAACCCGTATCCAACTCATTTCTAACTATCACAGCAACATATGTCATGATAAAAATTTGAAAGTCGAAAATAGAAAGTAGAAGAAACGACTCATGAGCTCAACACCTACCCAAGCTTAAAACCCAGACCAGCCCTACTCTTAGTGACATGCCATGCATTACCCCATCTGACATCTAAATCAACACATTAATAAACCTTAGCCCCAGCCAACCCTGTGCCTGTCCAAACCTCACCACATCCCCCAGCTAGACTCAAACCTCAACCACACTCAGTCAGCCAAATCCCAATAAACTAACCTGAAACTTTAAAAGTAACCCAGTCCTTAAACCTAACCTAGCCCCATACCAATTATAGCCTTGCCCTATCCTAACCCTAATTGCCTTTACCCAGTCCCGGTGCCCACTGACTCCTGGCCTAGTGCTCTTTACCTTGGCCCACACCTAAAAGCTGGGAAAATCATGTTTCCCAACTGCCTATGGGTATCTTCACATTATCAACCCCTGGCCTCTGGTATCCCAGGATGTCCAAACTCTCCAGCACCATCAGCTGACAAGCCAAACCCATCAGATACATCATATTCCCCCTCTTTCTCTCTTTCACATCCCCCACCCCGACCCTCTTTACTGTAGGTTCATCAGAAGACCTCACTCAGGTCAAATTTTCCCCATCCAACCTCCTAGATAAGAATGGGGCAAACCTCCACCCCACAGCTCCACACCCAGGAATCCTGTTCAAGAATGTACCCACCACTGACTGCATGAGCCAGCCCTCTGTCCTTCAGCCTGACCCCCTTCAAGCCTACCCCTTGCCTCCTGTGGCTCTCTGTGTGGACTCATCTCAGGGCGGCCTCTCTTGTGCCCTTCCCGGGGCTGACTGCTGGCAGCTGGCAGCTGGCAGAGAGACATGTGCTGTTTCCCCCCCCCTTGGCTCCCTAAACTGCAGAGGGTCTGGATTCAGAGTCCCTAGGCCTGGCCCCGTCCCTCCACGTACACACACATACGCATTGGCATACGTATACTGGCTCTTTCTTAGCTGACACACAAATATGCTTTCCGATATATACTGGTAGATACACACACAGAGGCCAAGTTCTCGTCCTCAAACACATACATGCCTCCATACACACACACACACACACACACACCCAGGCCAGGAACGCTCCCCTCCTCCATCCCCCCTGCCTCCCATCTGGCGGCCCACCCTCACCAACCCTGCGCCCGGCCCAAGGTGGGGACAGACACCTGAGGGGCTGCCAGCTGGGCATCCTCCACTGGGCCTGGGCCCGCCCTCATGTTTCTCGCCCCTCCTGCCCGCAGGGGACTCGTGGGGGATGCTAGCTTGCCTGTGTGCTGTGCTCTGGCACCTCCCTGCAGTGCCAGCCCTCAACCGCACGGGGGACCCAGGGCCTGGCCCCTCCATCCAGAAAACCTACGACCTCACCCGCTACCTGGAACACCAACTCCGCAGCTTGGCTGGGACCTACGTGAGTATCCAGGGCAGCTGAAAGGTCTGGGAATTGGCAAAGAACGAGGAGAGAAGATGGTGGAAGAGAGACAGAATGGTGGAGGGGTCCCGGTGAGCAGTGGTCACCAGGGGGCCCTTTGGTTCCAAACGGTCCCCATGTCTGGCCTATCTCCTACCCTTCCCTCTGAGGTGCCCCCCTCCTTCCCATCCCTGGCCCCAGGACTAGGCATGTGGGCAGGCCTCGCACCCGCCTTGGCCCACTGCCCCACTGGCTGCCGGCCCAGCCGCCCGCCTCCCCCTGGGGGCCGGGGAAGTCTCTTCTGTTTACACCGTGTTGTGGTGTCTCTTGCACGGGCGGGGCTGGGTGGGGATGGAGGGGCCCCACCTCCCATGCCTGTGTTCCAGCTCGCCTCTGCCCCAGACCTGGGGCCCTGCTGCTCTGGACCCATGGGCCTCCCTTCTGTCTGCCTCTCCCATCCTAGCTGGGCCTCCTAGGGGGGACTTGGGGGAAGGGGGCTGCGGGGAAGATAGGCCAGTAGTGGCAGGAGGTTCAGGGTGTGGATGGAAGTTGTGCCATAAGGATTTGGGGGCAGTCCAGAGGTGTTCAGAGAGCCCAGGAGAGAAGGAAAGAGGGTCAGAGTTGCCGAGGACCATGGGGAACCGGCCCCCTCTTCCCGTGTTCCTCTTCCACATCCCAGACCCTACTCTGGAGCCAGGGAAAGAAAGGGGAGGAGGGTGGCGGGGGAGCTGGCTCCAGCCCCAGGATACACCGAGGAAATTAGTTTGTCTCTGTGCTTGTCAGCGTGTGAACCTCCCCCTGGGCCCTTGCCTATCCCAGGCCTCGCCCCTCTCTTCTCCCTTTCTCTCCAGCTGAAACGTCCCCCTCAGCCCTTTCCCTGGGCCCCAGGCCTCTCCCTTGAGGGTTGGCAAAGCTCTGTCCTCTTCCCTAGACTGCCTCCTATACCCTTCCTCCTGCCCAACTCTTGAGACTGCCTCAGTTTCTTCCTTCTGCAGCCCTGCTCCTAGGAGCTCTTCCTTGGGGGGACTTGCTGCTTAGTGAGTACCATCTGCCCCCTGGCCTTCTGCTGGTGGGACCAAGCGTGTTGGGAGGCAAATGGAGCTCTGATTCCCACGGGCCCCTCTGCCTTCCCACCCGCTTTTCCCTTCCCTGGCCAAAAACCTTTGCCTGACTCTGCTACCCCCTCTAGCTCCCGACCCTTTTTCTCTCCTGGCCTTCCCTGCCAAATTTCTCGAAGGAGTGGTCTACACCCTCTGCCTCCGCTTCCTCTCCACCCACTCACTCCTTAACCCCCTGCAATCTGGCCTCCAGGCCACTGAAACGGCTCTCTCCAAGGTCGGCAGGCACCTCCTTTTCGCCAAACCCAACAGAATTTTCTAAGGCCCATTCCCCTTGCTCTCTGTTTTGCAGCCACACTGTCGAGTACTCCTGCCTTCTCGAACTCCTCTTCTTGGCTCTGCACTCTTCTGGTCCACCTTCCACCTCTGCGGCCTGGCCACCTGGGTCCTTCCGGCTCCTCTTCCTCTCTGCTCTGCCCCGTGGTGGGCACGCTCCCAAGGGTTGCACACACGGCCAATCAGCACGTCCTCCCCGAGTATCTCCTGCGTGTTTTTCTCTTCCTACACCTCTCATCAACCCCCACTGCCTCAACCGCCACCTCCATGCAGATGACATCCCTGGAGAAACTTAGGGGAGGCCCTCGCACAGAGAGGCCTAGCGAGGAGATGGGGCCAGTGTCAGGGGACACAGGAAATAGGAGCTTTGGGAGCAGGTTATCTCCCGGTGGCCCTCCTCCTCCTCCTCCTCCTCCTCCATCGCCCTCTCCTTTTCACAGCTGAACTACCTGGGCCCCCCTTTCAACGAGCCTGACTTCAACCCACCTCGGCTGGGGGCAGAGACTCTGCCCAGGGCCACTGTCAACTTGGATGTGTGGCGGAGCCTCAATGACAAACTGCGGCTGACCCAGAACTATGAGGCCTATAGCCACCTTCTCTGCTACTTGCGTGGCCTCGACCGCCAGGCTGCCACGGCCGAGCTGCGCCGCAGCCTGGCCCACTTCTGCACCAGCCTTCAGGGCCTGCTGGGCAGCATCGCGGGCGTCATGGCAGCTCTGGGCTACCCGCTGCCCCAGCCTCTGCCCGGAACCGAGCCCACCCGGGCCCCCGGCCCTGCCCACAGCGACTTCCTCCAGAAGATGGACGACTTCTGGCTGCTGAAGGAGCTGCAGACCTGGCTGTGGCGCTCGGCCAAGGATTTCAACCGGCTCAAGAAGAAGACGCAGCCCCCGCCAGCGGCGGTCACCCTGCACCTGGAAGCCCATGGCTTCTGATCTCTGACCTTTACCGCCTCCTCTCTCCTCTCCTCCCTCAAATCCTGCTCCCACTCTGGGAGGGAGAAACCCATATGCCAACATCTGTTGAGCCAGGAGACAGAAGCCATGGGCCTCTGGCCCTCTCCGGACTTGGAAGAGGGCATGATCGACAGGGCCTGTCCCCTCCCCGCTTTCCAAAGCCCTGCAGGTCTCGTCCACAGGGAGGAGCGCTCCCGGGGGCAGTGGTTCAAGTTGGTGCGAAGGCTCTCACAGCTTCCTGCTTCCTGCCCGGCACTTGCCGGCGCCCACACGGCCCCTCACGCGGCACTTCCAGGAAGCATGCCCGTAGGCAGGGAGGGGGGCCACCGCAGCATGTGCCTTTCTGGGGCGGGGGGAGCCCTTTGGCTGCCCCACTCTCCTTGGATGGGCGTTGTTCCCCTGTCCCCAAATAGCTCAGTACATCCAATTCAGGAAACACACACGGTGGCAAGTCCAAACGGGAAGAAACGGGATTTAAAAGCGGAAGAGGTGGGATCTGCATTGGAGGTCATACTAAAAGCATAGGGGCAGGGACAGAGCGGACCCACGGCTCACCAAGGCAGTCGGTGGCACAGGACGGCAGCCAAAAGGACCTTGCCTTGCATCTTCTTGCCGGCATCATGGTGCCTCCTCTCCACCCCCTTTCCAGGGTATCTGTGGGTTGCCCAGGCTGGGGAGGGCAACCATAGCCACAGCCACAGGGTTTCCTGAAAGTTTACATTGCAGTAGCATTTCGGGGTGCGGGGGGCAGCTCCCCCAGGCCCTGCCCCCCAGCCTCACCCACTCATGACTCTAAGTTTGTTGTATTAATATTTATTTATTTGGAGATGTTATTTATTAGATGATATTTATTGCAGAATTTCTATTCTTGTATTAACGAATAAAATGCTTGCCCCAGGACTTCATCTCTTTGCTTGGCCTGGTGCTTCCCCTCCTGGGCCCCCGCGTGCCTGGTGGCTTGGAGCCTGGCAGTCCAGGGCAGAGCTCGGAGAGGCAAAGAGCTTGGGGAAGAGGCTCTGCCCTGTCCACAGAGCGCGGTGCCCACAGCACACTGTTCCTCCACCCACGGTGCGTCCCTTTAGTCCTTCCAACATCTTCTTGTCTGGCCGCGTGTCTTCCCCCTCCCGGCCTTTGCTCAGCCCGCCTCCCCTCTCTGGATTACTTTAAAGGTCTCATAGGTCTCTCTCCCTGCGAAGCTGTCCACCTGCGCCTCTGGTAAGCCACGCGCAGTCAGCCCTCAGCTTCACCGGGACCCCCACCTGTGGTGGCCCCGGGCAGTGACCCTTCCCTTCTCAATACCCTTCATCTCCTAGGGAGTGTGACTGACTGTGGCCATGTCACAGTCTCAGGCGTGACTCTACTCCCTTCTTGTAGACTCTTTTCAGTGTAAGACAGCAGGTTGGGGGGGCGGGTGGGTAAGAGAAAAACTCATACTGGTCTGCAAAGCGAATGGGATAGATGTGACTCAGGGATGACCTCAGCTCCAAGCCCAGCCTCACGGCCTCCTAGCTGAGTGACCTTGGACAAATTACTTAAAGCTCTCTATTCTCTGATTTCCCCATCTGTGAAATGGGGATAATTAAATACCCTTCTAAGACTGTTTGAAGGATGAGAGAGACAATAAAGGTAAGGTGCCTGGCCGCGGCCGCAGCCGCAGCGAATAGTGATCTGATCTCCAGTTATTTGTGACAGACTGGCCTGCACTGACACTCTCGTGAAGAGCCACTGGGTCAGCTAGGGGGCTAACTGCTCCCAGGTAACACAGAGGTATTTCACCAGGGCCTCCGCGAGACAGTGCCCTAAGCACAGAGAGTAACAAATGACGGTGACGTCAATCAGTTGACGAATCTTGCAAAGGTCTGCCCATCACTGCGCCGACTGGAGTAGGAAACCCAGCAGAAGTCTGAGACCTGACTTGGCTCCTGCCCTTATGGAGCCTGCGATCTCTCTGGGAAGAGAAGACCAGCTGACCTGAAACTACTGACAGGTGCGTGAGCGTAGGTGCATGAGCTATTGGACTTGCTTGTGGGCGAGCCAGGTCCTGCTGAATGTCCCAGAGTCACCTGGCCCAAGTTGGAGGGAACATGCCCCGCCAAGGGGTCCGGGCCCTTCAGGCGGACATATCTGCCCAAACCCTGTCTAGATATCCTGCGGGCCTGCTTTCTGCCTAACGAGAGGGAGGAGAGGGCATCCGGGCTGTCTCCACATCGCAGCAAAACCTAGCAGCCTGTAATGTGCAAGGCAGCAAACAAGGGGGCTATGCAGAATACAGGAGAAGGAAGATATATCCCGTACCACTGTACTGCGTGTTTCTTAGGGGCAGACTCTGAGTTTTCCCCACCTCTCTATCCCAGTTCAGGCTCAAGCCCACGGAAGGTGTTCAGTTAGTGTGTCGAACAAAACACTCGAGAGAAGGGACTGGGACACCCCCGCCCTCCCTTGCTCCAAATGCTAGAATCCAAGGCAGAATTGGATCAACTGTGGAAAGACACAGGCAAAATACTTGGAAGTCAGGGAAGGAGCGATCGCGTCCCTTCAGCGAGGGTGCTGGTCTGTAAGTCCTCTCAGGGAGGCAGGGGTGTCTGCAGCCACCACTGTCCTTCCAGTGCCCAACACACAGTAGGTGCTTCTGCACAGACTCTCAGGGTCGGGCATGGACAAGGGCAGGGCAAGGGTCAGTTCAGTGTGTCTGTCTCCCTTGTAAGCAGATAGCATCTCGAGGGCACGTTCCACAATTTATTCATCTTTGCATCCCTCTAGCATTTTAGCACAATGCCCTGCACCGAACTAAAGTACTTGATAATTTAATATAAGCCGATTTAAAGAGTGTCAAGACAATAGTGTATGAGAAGCCAAGAGAAGAGAGTTTTAGGGAGGCAGCTGATCAACAGTGTCAGATGCCCCAGAAGTGCTAAGAGAAGAATTTGGGGGAAACCCACTGGGAAATTGGGAGGTCACAGGTGACCTTTGCGGGAGCATTTGGGAGGTAGACTCCAACTGTGAGATTAAAGGAGGGGGTGAGAAAGAAGGAAAAGGGGTGAATGTATTCTCTCCAGGCATTTGGTGGCAGGATCAAGGAAGGCTTTTTGTGTGGTTGGTTGGTCTGCTGTTGTTTTTAAACAGAAGAGATGTAAACGTGAAATGGCTGCGGGAGGGGTGGGAGCTGGAGAAGAATGGAGAGGGACAAGCAGAGGAAGGGAATCAAAAGGGCTGCTGGCCAGCCACATGGAGCCAGGTGACACCAGCACACACATCTCTGTCGTGGATTGTGACACCCCCTAGCAAGCCAGGGATGGCAGGAGGAGAGGACAGGGTGAAAAGAGGGCACTTCCCAAGGCCGAGGACTGACAGGGCAGGAATGGCAGAGACTCGAGGGTCGAGAGACTCCAGAGAGCTCGAAACGGTGCTTCTGAGTGGCCGGGAGCTGCAGCACACGCGGGGTCTCAGAGCCGGGCCTGCAGCAGATGGAAACAGAGGAGGAGAGCAACCGGGGAAGGGCGGGCAAGCACACAAGTTCGCCCGGCTGAGGACACAGAGGGGGCGTCATAAAGAGTAAGGTGGGGGAGGCGGACACAGGGGACAGCTGAGCCGGAAAGGGCATCTCAGAGTCTGAATTCTTGAACTCTCCCCCAGATAGCCCCCTACTGATGGTGACTGATGGTGTCGGGGTAGGAGCCCGTCCTTTGGGTTTTGGAGCTTCGGACCGTGAGCAGGTGGCTCTGGGTAAATGACAAGTCATCAGGCTCTTCTATGAGTCCGTTGTTGGTTCTCCACCCACCACTGCTCCGGGACCGGTGGTGAGTCTGTGTCGGTTACTCAGGTTCCACCTCTTAAGTGTGGCCTTAGCGTCAGGGGCCCAGGTACGCAGAGGTCAGCTTAAAAACCTGGAATGCCTGGGGCCTGCGGTGCCATGGGAAGGAGGACATTATCTCTGGAAGTCTTTCTGTCCCAGGAAGGCTAGGGAGAGTAGGAGGGAAGGAGAGAAGCTCTCCTCCCCATCCTCTCCATCCAGACAGCACGGAGCGGATTAGGAAGCTCGGCATCCTCTTGGGTATCTGGAAACGCACCCGTGTGTGCGAGGATGGGCACGAGTTGGCGAACGGTCCCTCGGGAGAGGCAACTTCGGGGGCAGGGGTGGGAGTGGGTGTGGAAAAGGTGGAGGGTGGCCAAAGGCCGGTGACGCCTTGCCAGCTTCCTGCCTTTGCAAAGACTGACCCAACATCCAGGACTCAGGGCCCTCGCAGTATGTGAAGAGACTCATTCAAGTGCTCGTCTTACAGACACGCGCACACATTCGCCCACTCGCCACAGCCACCCCGAATGGGGAAGGGCCAAGGGAGGCCCTTGTTCCCCTTAACCTAGAGGGTAAGGGCCAGTGATCCGGGCCCCTGACTGAGTGCTCTGATGGGTGGTTCCCTCTCAGCTCCCCCTTCTTCTCTGGAGCCACAACTGTCCCTGCCTTTGTCCCTTCAGTTCTTGAGCTCCCTGACTCAGCCTGGTTCCCCAGTTCCCAGCAGTAGACAAAGCCCTTGTCAGTGGGGTGGGGGTGGGGACAATGAGGAAGTAGCTGTGAGCTTTAGAACCAGAGTTCCAGCCCTTCCTCTCAACCTTCAGGGTCTTCCAGCCTCCCTAGTGCAGAGGTCACCCCTAGGCCCCTCCCCAACTTGCCCTGACCTCTAAGGCCTGGCCAACCGGGTGGAAACGAACTAGGACCTTCCTCCCAGCTAGACAAAGTCTGACACCTGGTGGCCAAGGTGAGAAATGGCCAGAAGGATCCCTTTTCAACTGTTCCCAGAATTTCTCCAGGGCCAGCTGGCCAAGGTGACAGGGGCAGTAATGGGAGAAGGCTCCGAGGGGATGGTTGGGACACGGCAGAAAAGCCAGCCAGTGGCAGAAAAACCCAGATGGAGGGGGACCTTTGCCTTCCATCAGGCTCCTGCCCCTCAAAGCCCACAAGGCCAGAGAACCCGGAGCCGGGAGAGGTGGGGTGTCTGGGATGGACTAGGAGGAGTTGCCTGAAAGAATTCTGGTCCACAGGGTGGGGAATGGAGCCCATGGTGTGTGGGCATGTGGGTGGGGGGGCCAGGGATACGAGTCTGGCTGCCCAGAATCTCTAGCTCCAGTGGGTGGCAGGGCCTGAGGGCCTGAGGAAGGGGATGCTGGGGAGAGGGAAGGAGAGCAGGCTACACCCACAGTCTGCTGGGCCCCAGGCAGCTGCTTCTCTATACCTGCCCCAACCTTCCTGGCTCTAGCTGACTCTCTCCACGACGAGCCCCACTGTGAGCTAGGGGAGGGAGAAGGGGCTCCTAGGGCACCTGTGCAGTGCTGAGGCCCCCCCCCCCCCCCCCCCCCCCCCCCCCCGCCACATTGTCTGAGCTAAGCCAGGCCTAATCCCCTTCCCCTCGGAGCAGTAGACAGTGGGCCTCAGCCTTCAGGAAGGTGCTGGGCTCCTGTTCCGGTCTTCGCTCTCCTTTTCCCTTGGGTTCCCCCAAGACTTCGGTCTTGGCCTCAAGCAAGGCCCTTGAGTGTTCCCAGGCTGAGATGCATCGGCCACTCCTGCCAGTCCCATAACCATCCTCTGGGGGTCAGAGCTGACCCGGAAACAGGCTCCTGGGTCTCAGGAAACTCCCTGAAGGAGGGAGAACTCAGCTCCTAACTCAGACCTCTGGCCTGGCCCTCCAGCCTGAAGCCCAAATTGTGATAGGCCCCACGACAGCAGTTTGGGGGATAGGCTGGGAGGCTGCTTGAGTAGGGACAGGGGTTCCAGGAAGAAAGGAGATGGGGGCAGACAGGAAGGGAAGGAAGAAGGACAAGACCTGTTGGGTGGGTAGGCCGAGTTACAGAAGGATGCCAGTTGGACAGGGATGGCTCCAAAGCTCCTGGGTGGCAGCTCCTTTGAGCCTTGGAGCTTGGTCCCACTACTGCATGACTAGCACAGGAGGGCGATGCTGTCTGCGGAGAGTTCCCTTGACTCCAGGCCAGAAAAACAGTCCTAGGGTGCCTGCACTTGAGCTGATTGCCTTGAAGGGGGAAAGCTACAGGCCAGGCTGGGTGAGAGAGGCTAGCAGGGCCTGGGCCAGGCAGAGCCGGGGGCGGCTGGCGGGGACGGCCCAGACAGTGCCCACAGAGCAGGCCAGGGTGCCAGAGGAGAGAGGGAAATGGGCTCGGGCGGCAGTAGGAGCCACTGTGGCCTCCCAGCGGCACACCTCATTTCACGCTCCCTGGGCGGTGGCAGGGCCCCACGGCTATCAGCTTTCAGGGGTGGGAAGGACTAGGAATGAGGAGGGGTCTGCCCCGCCCATGGCTTCCTACTCCCTCGGGGCTCTGTGGACTCAGGAGTGAGGTGCCACACACCTCTGGGACGCCCCCTGGGGAGAGAGTGGTCAGTCCCACCGAGCCCGGGCACGATCCCTCCGTGGCGTGCTCAGTGCCTGACTGGACTCCGCACCTCAGCCCTTCCCGGGCCTGGTGGAGAGGGCCTCCCTGCTCCCCTCCCCAGTGCAGCAGGGCCCCTGTCTCCCTCAGTGTGGGCCCCACTTAGTCCACGAGGCAGATGGGGGATTAGGCCAGGCCCAGCCCAGAAAATAAAGCAGGGAAGGGCCCTCCAGCTCTGTGCAGTGCATTCGCGAGCTCTGACTCCCACTCGGCCCTCCTCAAGGAAGTGGATGGGGAGAGCCAGGCAGGAGGAGGCCCCTGAAGACATGTCCTGTCCCTGCTCCTCCCCTTTGGCGGTCCACTCTGCAGACCATTTTCCTCTCTTGTGCCCACCTCACTCCTAACGCAGCGCACCCGCACCCCAGAGCAGTGGAAGAGGGGGCAGGCAGAAGCCTCTGAGCAGGCCCGGCTCTCCTGGAAGGAGGAACTAGATGGATCTCTAGAGGGCAGTTAGAGCTGGGCTGGTCCCTGTGCCGATTCCCAGACTCTCGCTGACCAGCGCCGTTGCCTGCTGCCAGGAAGTTGGTGAGGGGGAGGAGGGTGTAGGGGTGACTCAGCGATGACAGGAGCCCAAGGGACAAAGGTCATGGGCGGAGAATTGAGAGACACTGTTTACAGCAGCCTGCCTCCTCCAGGAGGTCTTCCAGTGCTAAGCCAGCCCTGCGGTCCAACTCATCTCTGACCCACCCTCTCCCCTATCCTTGTTAGGAACTTTATCCCCGCACTGATGACAACTTGTGCGTCCTGTTTGCCTCCGCTATTAGCCTCTGAGCTCCTGGGAGGGGAGGGGTGGGGGAGGGCACGACCTGTGGTTTAACTGGGGCCCCACAATGCTGTGACTATCAGCACTTCCTACTTTCAAGAACCATTTTATGGGGCGCCTGGCTGGCTCAGTCAGTGGGGCATGTGACTCTTGATCGCAGAGTCATGAGTTCAAGCCCCATGCTGGGGGTAGATATTACTTAAAAAAATAAAATCTTAAAAAAAAAAGAATCATTTTACATCTATTTTAGTTGAGCGAATATGTGGGGAAATGCTGAGAGCAGTACTTGGCATACTGTAAGCGCCATATAAGTGTTTGGTTTAGTGTGGGTATTTTCTGCTCATACTGTCATATTAGTGAGATGGCAGGTTTTACTGGTGAAAAACTAGGGATACCAATACACTCTGGCCTCCTGCTCAGTGTGGAATCTTCCTGACTGGTAGGGTGGGCATGGGGCAGGCTGCAGGACTCCGGGAGAGTTGACAAGGCCAACGCTTGCCTGGACTAAGAGTGGGCAGGGTCTTTGGGCACAGACTGTGAGAAAGGAGCTTTGGAACCCATGGGCTTTTCCGGCCAGGTCTCCTGGGGCCAGTGGGGGTGGGATGGAAGCACGGAGGGGGCTGGATTAGCCCAAACTCTCATCGGACCTCCAGACCTGCCCCCACTGAGCTCTGCGGGACAAGGGGTGGGAGCGGAGGCTCCAGCTGGACTCTGGGGAGTTACCAACCGGCCACGGGGATTAGTGAGGCTGAAAAGAACATTTGCCTAGGAAGGGCAAACGGGAAGTGAGAGGCTAAGGATAACGCTCTATTAAGTCCCCCGAGACCCACTGCAGACCATTGGGGCGGAGGGGGGGCAGGAGGAGGTGGTGCCGTCTGGGGCATCTTGACAGGTCTCCCACCCCAGCCTCGCCCCTTCTCCCCCAGAACACAGCTGCAGCAGCGGCCCCGCCCCCTCTGCCTGCGCCGCCTGCCATTGGCTGAAGCCGGGCCCCGCCCCGCAGAGGTGGCCAGCCATTGGCTTAGGTCTTTAATGTTTGCGTGCTTGTGGGGGTGGGGGACAGGCGTCATTCCCTGGAACCAGCGGACTTCCTCTCGGCTAGTCTGGGTCACCGTGTCTGCCTGTCGCTGGCCCCAGGCTCGCTCTCTGGCCTCAGCCCTCTCTCACTCTCTCTCTCTCAGCAGCTGTCTCTCTCGTGCCCGCTGGCCTGTCTCCTTCCTCGCAGTCGCCTCCTTCTTTGCCTGCCTGGGTGGCCGCCATGGGCCGGAAGCGGCTCATCACTGACTCCTACCCTGTAGTGAAGAGGAGGGAGGGCCCCGCTGGGCACAGCAAGGGGGAGCTGGCGCCAGAGCTAGGTCTCTAAAGATTGGGGGACGGGAGCAGTGGACACCACCGAGGGGCATGAGAGGACGTGGGTGGACGCGGGCAATGGCACGGGAAGTGAAGTATGTCCTCTACTTCCTAGTCCAGGCCTGGCAACGGCCGGCAGAGGCCAAGGGGTGGCGAGGGCCGGGGAGCAGTGGGACAGCTGTGAAGTGAGCAGCAGGGGGCTGGCCTTGCAGGGCATAGGCCCCGGGCAGGCCTGAGAAGCAGCATGTCATTGCAGGGGAAGAGCCCCAGCCTCTGAGCGTGGATGAAGCAGAGCTGGAGCTGCTGAGGCAGTTTGATCTGGCCTGGCAATACGGGCCCTGCACAGGTGAGAACCCCCTCAGGCCCCAGGAGCACATCCTGGAGACAGTCCTGTCATCCACATGTCCCTGAAGCAAGCCAAGCCCCTGCCTGGGTCTACTGAGACTGGGGGGCATGGAGGTCCCAACACACCCCTCCACACACATTCTCTAGCCTGGACTCAGTGTCTTCTTCCCACCCTGGCAGGGATCACACGGCTGCAGCGCTGGCATCGGGCCGAGCAGATGGGCTTGGAGCCCCCCGCCGAAGTGCGCCAGGTGCTGCAGACCCACCCTGGAGATCCCCGCTTCCAGTACAGGTCAGAGACAGGCCAGGGAGGGCTTTCAGGGGGGCCAGGGTTTTCGTCAGGCACCAGCAGCCTGCTGGCCCCAGGTGGGGGCTGCCCTGACCCGAGGAAGAAATGGGTGAAGGCTCTTGGGCTTTGCTGAACGGGCGAGAAGGCTCTACAGGGTGCCTGGCTCAGGAAGGCAGAAGATGGCTTTAACACTTCTTAGCTCTGAGCTAATGGTGGGGGAAGAGTGCACCCAGGGCCCAAGGGACTCTCTATTTAGTACAGAGGGGTTGGCCAAGGACTATAGGCCATGGCCAAGAATTGGGGCTGGTGAAATCAGATCAAGGACTTAACTGACTCGCTCTGATTTTTCCCTCCCCCTCCCCTTGCACAGCCTCTGGCATGTCTATCCCCTTTGAGGCACCACCCAAGGCCTCCTGCCTGCGATCCCAGGACCTCAGGACACAAGCGGGAGCCAGTTTGCTGCCCCCTTGGCTCAGTTCTGCCATGAGAGTGTTTGGCTGTGAAGAGTGTGAAGAGGAAAGAGGCTGAATCTGGAGGTCTCTGAGGCTCAGCCTTTCATCTAACCAGCAGGCTCCTGGAGCCCCCTCTGGGAGCCAACACAGCTGAAGTTTGCACTTCCTACATGGAGAGTGGTCTCTGAGGACCAGGACCTGACCATGACCCTTCAGATGCCTGCTACACACCTCCCTGACCTAAATGCTGTGCTCTGGGGAATAGCGTGGCAAAGGGGCACAGCCTTGGACAAAGCCAGACTCAGGCAGGTGTCTAAGAGGCAAAGACACACTCCCCACTTGAGGCTGGGAATCCGAGGGCAGAACTGGCAAGGGGTTCATTAATGCTTATCAATAAAGAACAGAATCTGGAAGCTTGACCTCCAGTGCCTCCATGTGGCCCTGTTTGGGCTGGCAGCAATCAGCAAGTTGATAGGTGGGAAAGAGCCGGCACCATGCTTTCCCTCTGTTGTCCCATCCTAGATCTGAGATGGAAGAGAGACGCCTTAATAGATGGTGGGACAAGTCCTCATTAGAGCTGAGCAACCTCTGGCGCCCCCTGGTGGCGTACAGGGAAACTACTCCTTAGTCGCCTTCAAAGAGTCGCCTGACTCTTTCTACCTGACCTGCCATCCAGCCTGTCCAGTGTAGCCCACCTCACAAAAATGGGTCCTTTGTCAGAGGGGACTCCATAGGCCCACACATCATAAAGCCCAGACCTACGCATTCTTAGCAAGCACCTCTGCTTCCCCACACTGGGGCCACCTGGATCCGAAGTATATTTGGGGAAGTCCAGCCTGCAGGTCCTGCTTGGAAATGGGCATCATCTGATGGGCTTTGATGGGGAACTGGGTGGAGCAGAAACAACGCTTAGGGGACCTTGGGATGGCATGGAGTCAGTACTCCTCACACTTGTTTACCTTCACTCCATCCTGAGTGGACAGAGACCGCACGACTATAACTCCTTGGGGACAGGCCTACAGAGCAGCCAAGTGGCCCCCTCAGCCCCCACTGTACTGGGCGCTGCCCATGCCTCAAGCTCTTTAAATGAACAATCTCTAGAGTTCCTAAAGGGCCATCAGGGTACGTTTTACGGAGAAGGAGCCCGAAGCCCAGAAGGGCTCTGCGGAGTTGCTCAGCGGTGCCAGCAGGTCCGTTGTGGCACAGAGATGAGAGGCCACGTGCATCGGGCTCTTCCCATCCATACCCGTGCCCCTGCCCATTTGCTGAGCATCCTCCGCACGCCGGGCTCTAGAGGTCCTCTTGGGTGTTGCCGGTGGTGAGAGATGAAGAAAGGCCCACAGGCAAATATTATGTCACGTGGTGGTCGGTGGCAGGTCACATCAGGGTTAGAGGTCAAAGAATGCCAGGGGTGCTTAGAGAGGTTGATCAGGGAAGTTCCCCGACAGGGCGGCATTTGAGCAGACCTGAGCGAAGTACAGGAACGAGCCTTGCACCTCTGTGGTACTTGGGACCGAAGGAGCAGCAAGCACAGTCCCCAAGGCAGGAGAGTTCGCAGCCTGGTCCTGGAACAGCGTGGAGGCCGGCGCAGCCAGGGCAGAGGGAGCGAGGGCAGTGGCAGGGGAGTGTAAGGGGAAATGAGGCCAGAGAGGTGGCAGGCCGGTCCCACAGGGCCTCTCAGGCCTAGATAAGGAATCTGGATTTTATTCTGAGTGAGATAGGAAGACAGTGGTGGGTTCTGAGCCAATAAATGACACAATCAAGCTTATGTGTTGAAAACATTACTCTGGCGGTTGGTGGAGAACAGATTGTGGAGGTGGGGGAAAAAGAGGCAGCAAACCCGCTCAGGCTTTGGGGGGTCGGCCTCGAGAGAGGTGACGGTGATTTGGACCAGGGTGGGGAGATCAGTCGGTTGTGGGCTTGGGAGAGGGAGGAGCGAAGGAGAACTCCAAAGGCCTCGGCCTGAGAGTCTGGGAAGCCAGAGTTCCCATGACCGAGATGGGGAAGGCTGTGTGAGGGGTGGGGGTGGGGGGTGCTGGGGAACCAAGAGTCCGCGCCTGAAGTGGGTGACACCCCAGCGGAGCTGGGGAGTAGGCGGTGGATACGCCAGCCTGGAATTCTGGGGAGCTCTGGATCGGAGATGTAAATGAGGACGTTTCTTAGGTGGCATTTAAAGCCCTGAGCGTGGATAAAGTTACCTCGGTGACTGCAGAAAGAGACAAGAAGTGGTCCAAGGACAGGCCTGGGACTTCTATGCTTAGAGGCGAAGAAGGAGACTGTGGGCGGCAGGGCCGGAGGAAAATCAGGAGTTGCGGGCCCGGGGGGCCTGGACAGAAGGCATTTCAGGGTCTCAGGTGCTTTGGAGAGGCTGGTACAATGAAGCCTGAGGGCCGCATGCTGGACTTGGCCACGCAGAGGTCACCAGAGATAAGAAGTTTCCGTGACTGCCAGGTAAGAGTGTGCTGCAGTGGGCCCAGAGCGAGTGGCAGAGGTGGAAAGGGGAGCGTGCCAACTCTTTCAGGGAGTTTTACTGGAAAGGGAGCAGAGGAATACAGCGGTGACCAGAGGGACATGGGATCAAAGGAGGGGTTTGGTGTGTCGTTTTGTCTTTTGCTTTAGACAGAGTGACACCACAGCGTGATCACCCAGTGAAGACAGTGAGCAAACAGGGAGGGTACTGATGCCGCAGGAGACAGAGACAGCAGGCATATGAGGCCTTTGTGAAAGTGACAAGGGCCAGGACTAGTACCCAGGGAGAGGCTGGCCTCAGGTAGGAGCATCCAGCGTGACAGGAAGGGAGGCCAAGGATGTGGGTGTAGATGCAGGTGGGAAGGTATAGTTATCAGTGGGAACATTCGAGAATCCAGTGTTTGCTGAGAGCCTCACGTAACTCGGAGGGGTCTGATGTTTACTAAGTGCCCTGCGTGCCATCTCCTGAGCTGAAAGCTGCACATTCCTTATCTAGTTGACTGGAGTGACTCAAAACACTCTCATTAGGTAAGTATTAGCCACAGTTGACAGAGAAGGAGGCCGGAAAGAAAAGCGACTTTCTCCATCAGTAAACCCCGGGGCCGGACTCACACCTGGGGCTGCCTTCCGCAGTGCGTTACCCAACACCTGCACCCTGCTGGGCCTGCGCCCTGGGTGCTGAGGGCGCTGTTGGAGAGATGAGACCTACCCATGTGGAAAGTTAAGAAAACAATATACAGGCTACTTTGGGGCAATCGGGAGTGGTATAGATACTGAGTCTTCAGGAAGGAGAGAGCCCCGCACTTAAAAGGACCCTCATTGTGGGGACCCTGAGCACAGAGACAGCCACCTCCCGCTACGTTGGCTATCCCTGCCTTACTTTAGCACCTCACCCCTTCCGCTGCAGAATGAATGAAGACCCCCTACCGCAGCTGGGGGGTGGCCTGAGACACCTCCACTCTGAATATTGTTGTTTTTGTTTTTTTTTTTAATTTTTTTTTCAACGTTTATTTATTTTTGGGACAGAGACAGAGCATGAACGGGGGAGGGGCAGAGAGAGAGGGAGACACAGAATCGGAAACAGTCTCCAGGCTCTGAGCCATCAGCCCAGAGCCTGACGTGGGGCTCGAACTCACAGACCGCGAGATCGTGACCTGGCTGAAGTCGGACGCTTAACCGACTGCGCCACCCAGGCGCCCCGTGAATATTGTTTTTAAAAAATGTTTGTTTATTTATTTTTGAGAGAGACAGAGAGAGAGACAGAATCCGAAGCAGGCTCCAGGCTCTGAGCTGTCAGCGCACAGCCCGACGCGGGGCTGGAACTCACGAGCTGTGAGATCATGACCCGAGCCAAAATCGGACGCTTAACTGACTGAGTCACCCAGGCGCCCCTGAATATCCTTACTAGTTGCATCTTTTTTCTTCAAAATCTTCTGCCAGTCTTGCATCCTACTCCATGATATTACTGAGGTGGCTGCTGTAGCATTAAAAATGGGTGAACTCACTTGTCAAGTAAACGACCCCTCCAGGAAGATGTGCCGAGAGTGGCCTGCGGCTGGCTCGACACGCCCAGCACCACCCAACCAGGCGGAGCAGCCCTGCAGGAAGTGGCAAAGAAACGTTTATCGGAAGCAAAATGGGAGGTCAGGGGCCCATGAAGGGTGAGTAAGAGGAGATGGGCAGAGAAGAGCATTCTAGATTGAGGGACTGGGCTGAGAGCAAAGGTAACAAGGAGAGGCGGACGTGTGCGCCCAGGGGAGGGCATGCAGATTGCAGCACTTGCTTAATGAGAATCGGTGCACTAAACAGCTGGCATTTCAGTGCCTACTCCATATCCAGACGGTTCTAAGTGCTGTTTATCCTCTCAGATGCTAAAATCTTTATAAAGAGACTTTGAGGAAGAGATTCAGGCACAGTGAGGTTAAGTACTTGCCCAAGGGTCACACAGCACGTAAGTGTCGGGAACGGAATCTGATGCCTGCACTCACGTCATGTGGGATAAAGCCAGCAAGGAGGGCTGCGGCCAAACATAGGGCCTGGAGCCTGAAGTGAAGGAATCTGCACTTATCCACAGTGAAGACAGCGCCTGAAAGTTGTTGAGCAAGAGAGACATAGGATAAAAATAATCATTCCGGAGAATCTGTCTGGCCAGGTAGGAAGAAAGACTTGCAGGGAAGAAAGTGCAGGCAGGGAGACCACAGCAGAAGCTATTAAATATTCAGGACATGGGTGCTGAGATGCTGGGTTAGCAGTCAGAATGCAAAGGACAGAGAGCAACGAGAGATGTTGCAAAGGCAGGTGGCAAGGCCTGCGTTTGGGAAGGGAGGAGTGGGGAGGAGGCGTCGAAGATGACTCAGGATTTGAGCACGGGTGCGTGAGAGAAGGCTGATGCCATGGGCAGGAGACTGGAATCTGGGAGGAGGAGCAAGCTCGATTTCATGCCTGTTCAGTTTAAGACGATGACAGGACTCCCAAAAGGAAACATCCAGTAGGCAGCGGCAACTTAGAGGTCAAGTCCAGTGGCGAGGTCAGGGAGAGGTGGCATCCAGGGCAGGGGGGACCGCCTGCACAGAAGCGACAGTTGAGCCCATGCGCGTGGAGGGGTTCTCAGGGGGTGAAGAGAGACAGGGAGGTGGCGCGACAAGACCAAAGATGGCGCTCGGGAAATCCTCTCTAGAAGGTGGAAGACCAGCAAAGGAGAAGGGAGAGTGGCCGAGTGGCAGGAGAGCCAAGGCAGAGCAGTGTCCGGGAGGTTCCCGAGAACTTCGCAAACGGCTGGTGTCATGCTGCCAGACGTCAAGGGAGAGATCATGAGGAGACGGAAAGAGGAGGACGGCCCACCCTCTGCCCTCACATTTCCTATGTCCCTCTGTCCCCATTCTGCCGTCCCCAACTGCCACAGTGACTACCAGTGCCACACCCACCGACGAAGGCCACACTGATTCAT